GTTGTTCTCACCGTGTCGTACAAAGCGCCCCGAATGTTGCGTCACCCCTCCGACTTTAACCGTCCTAAGTACTACCAGGTTCGCAACAAGCGCATCTCCTCTGTGCCAGAATTCTTAACTAAAGGATATCTCCATTTACACAGACATTCGAAGATAGTCGGTTGATCTGCGGCTGGTTATAATGATATTTAAAATGCAAGTACAAAATATTTAACATCAGCGACCTGCGGTAAATTCGCACAAGCGGGCGTGGTTTTCTTTGAAATGCCTGCATCGACCTACACAATAAATCTGACAACAGCGTGCGTGACGCTTGGCTTTGCTGCTTTCTGAGTCTGGCAGGCTAGTGGTAAGGGCAAAAGCCGGTAAACACAAAGCATTGGTTTCAAGACCTCACTCGGGCTAAATGAATTTGAAGAATCTAAAGAAACATGAGCAGGGTCTTGGGGTGCAATAGTAGTAGAGACTGGCGATACGGGAACAGCTCTACTTTGGTTGTCGTCCAGGCACGAGAGTGGGAGATTTGTGTCATGGCGAATCCTGGTTCGAACTTGTCAAGCATCGCAGATCACACGCACCATGGGTACTCCAACACCGCCGATGATAACAAATTCGTAGCGACAGAACAACGCGGCAATGAAGCACGATCTTTATTGGCGCGAAAACACACACTACCTAATCACTCACACAGGCGACATTAATTAGTCAGCTTTCTTTCCCACGCTGCACCATCCATCCTGGCCTCCGCTCGTGGCACTTCTATGCTCCTTCCGGGGGTACAGGAACGCATCTTCTATGTCCGTTTCGCCCGTGTATCTTCGCTTCCACGCCTCCGATTCTGACAAGCCCGGAGTCGTTCGATAGCGTGCGTTTTGCTTGACCGTGGGTGTGTCACTCTCCCCGGGGTTGTTTCTTGACGATGCGATACCGGCGGTTTTGTTCGATTTATTGCGTCTTCAACAAATTCTCTACCTGCTTTACCTGCCTCGGGCTCACCCACGGATGCCGCTCCTGTCCCGTTTTCGTCCCGTTCTACTGAGCCTGGGTTTCTCCAGCGAATCGTCCCCATTGCATCGGTCTCGCTATTCGTCCGCCTCCGTTTTAATGCTATAAACGTCCTTTGGGCAAGCGCTGCCTTCCGCCTCCCTACAATTTGCTTGGGGATGATTCACAAGCCGTCCATAGCGCTTCAAATCGCTTAACAATGGAAGGGTCTAAGAACGGTCTGTATTTAACCCCAGACAAATGTAAAATACTACTCCAGGGTTAGCAGTTGCCCGTGTCTAGTGAGGTCCTGGAACAAGTCCCCTGCTTCATTTATCTATGGAGCTGCATCACGGCTGGCGGCGGTGTTGGAGATAAGGTCTTACGGTGGGTCGCAAAGGCCCGCCTTGCACTTGTCAGACTGAGACACTAATGGCATCGTCGTAATGTCAATCTGAAACTCAAGGGCAGGGTGGGTATTGCTTCTGTCCGTGCGGTCCTCTTGTATGGCTGTGAGAACTGGCGTATTAGCTCGAAAGACATGAAGAGATTGTCAGTTTTGACATTCGTTGTCTGCGTAGGATTTCTCACATATGATGGCAACATCAGGCAAGCAACACACAAATCCGAGACCGGGTGCTTGGAGCAACTGTCCGTGCCTCCGAAACATTATTCTCCGACACCGCATGCGTTGGCTCTGGCTCATCTTGCGCATGCTAGCTTATCCATTTCCCCGTCAAGAGCTAATCGCATTACACAGGAGTGACTTAAAAAAGTGCCGCGGTGAACAGCCAATGAGGTGGAAATGGTACATGAAAAAGGCACCTACAAGCTTACCATACTTTTGAGCGGTTCCCCTCCAACATGGGTACAAAGCGACTCAGACTGCCAGCGAGTGGAAACGCTGAAGTTTGTGGCGCGAAACGTACATGAGTAACGACAGTGGTTTTCCACGGTGTCATCAATTAGTCAATGTTTACTAAAACATAAAATTCCGTAGCGCAAACGCTGAAAATGGCAAATGTAATACACGGAAATGGTTTTCTTCTACTATCGTATTAGGTTTCCCCGATTTCTGTCATGGCCTCGACGGCAAACTGTCTGTACTCGTAATGAGTATATATATATATATATATATATATATATATATATATATATATATATATATAAGGCTTGCCTCGCTTCTGTCAATACGGACGTTATGTCGAGGATATTATTTCTCTGTCACAGTTAAACCACAACAAGGGAATTTTCGGTAATGCAACAGAGGTGCGCCGACTGACGACTATCACTGGTCGTTTCAATGACCGGGTCTGTAAGCTTGCTTTAAGTTAAGTTCCTGATACGCATGTCGCTTTCATTTGTTCAGTTTCTGACAGATGAGTGTAGTTTTATCCGGAAAAGTGTACACGAATATTTTATTTTGAGTCGAAGGAGCGCTATGAAACACTGATTCATGAGTTGATTTGTTTGAAACAGGGAAGATTATCTGTAGCTAACCTTGGATAGCCAACATATATTACTGCCTATTTGTAACAAAAGTCCCACTAAAGCATCCGTGAATAAGTTATGAGAAGACAAATGTTTGTATTGTTGCTTTGATACCAGTGGAGTCCATCGAATTAGCATGAATTTTCACGGTCCCGTAACCCAGCCCTGTTAGTAGAAGTTACATCACAAAATATCTTGTCATCACATAACATACTTTGCTAATTTTCGGTATTACTCGCAAACACTGTTCTTCATTTGGTTTATCCCTTAAGGCAGACCGATTTGTTTTGCCATGTCAGTCGTTCAAATAGACATACAAGTTAACTTCATTGATAAACGTGGATGCAGCATTTCGCCCTTGAGTGAAAATGGCTACGTTAACAAGTGGCATAAACGCGGTCGCAGGCTACTTCGGTTATAGGAAAGCCTTTTGACCAAACGAACTATTTAGGCTACTACCTTTTTCAAACAACCAAAGAATATTGCCTCTGCAACATACTAATGGTAATGAAACGCGAATAATACATACTTGCTCATGTTTCGCTCGCATCCTAACCGGAGTATTCAGCAATACATGCTAATTAGATGGCTTCGAGTCGCTTCCTATTCTGTGCTCATGGTTATCAATTACTCGATTCCACCTGCTGACGTACAGTTGATGTACCATATATGAATAATGAAGAATGATTTATCACGTGTAAAAAGCAGTTGCCTGATAAGTACGGCAGGATGGCGGGAGTAAAACTACAATATCAAAAGATATGTGAGTTGCCTGTTTGAGCGCCTATCTAACATATGCGCCGTTGAATAACAGTAGTGTAGATGTGAATTAAATGCAATCTGTCTCTATAGCGCTTCTGTAAAATTTGAGACTCTGTTATAGGAGACGTTCTTTCTTTTGGCATATTCACTACAGATTTCAATGTGAGTCATAATAAGTATTTGCGACATGCATACTAGCTTTGGACTGAGTTTGGGACTTATCCTGTGTCCAGATCAGCATGAGAGAAAGCGCTTGGTGGACAGCTTAACAGCATCGTGACTTTCAAACCGATAATTCAGATATGTTCAACCAGAGCAAGAACTAGAATCGGTGAAGGATTAGAAATCGCATAGAATACTGTGACAGTTAGACTGCATTCTACCTCGGCTAGTAAAAGCATATCGGTCGCCAAGTTTACCAGTGGCTTAAATGCTTCCACTGATGTTTCGCAAGCATAGTGTCATTAGTCTGAAAATGAGGTTGGTGAGGAATCACCAAAGGCATATTCCGAGTGCAAAATGGCAGTTTTACTGCTTCTGACTACCATAGACCTCTTTCAAGCTCAGCTAACAGTTGATTGTATTTATCCATGAGCAATCTAAGGGGAGCAAACTAGCAGTGTGAAATTCCACTCTCTTGGAATCTTCCTGGGTGTAAAGGCTAAAACTGTCAGTGCAATTACTCAACACGGCTTTGCTAACTGAAGTATTTAACATCCTCGGATGTCGAGGGCATATGAATGTCAACTGTCTCACTGAACGGCAACTACCTCATTTCGTCAATGAGAGATGAGAGGCCTCTAATTGCCCCCGTACAGTCAGTGTTAACCAACTACTACACTCTAGTAGTTTTGAAATACTTCCAAATACCTCAAAAACCCGGCCACTGGTCAAGGTATTGGCTGTTCATACCATAAAGAAAGAGGGCTCAACGGAAGTGCTAACAATACGATACTCAGACTGCTTTTTTTCAACCAGAAGACACCTCCAAATCATTTTAAACCAATTTACTCCAAGACAGTTTACTCCTCTAGCTACCAAAAGGTCCTAGAAGCTAACCTACATAAAAAGTTTTTACATTTTCTTTCCTGGTCTATTACTGGTGAAAGAATATTAAACAAACTACAGAAGTGAGTTTGCCCTCTCAAAATATATTCAGTTAGTGAGCATAGAAATACCTTTGTTGGAGTACTCGTAAAGTGGCGTAGCCCAGTGATGACCAGAACAAAAGCGACCAACCGCACGACTTCATATCTCAGACTTCAAAAACTGTCACACGTGTGTGATAGCTGCGCATTACGGCAACCTTGTCGGTAGGGAAAATGCAGATAAGTTGTCCTCCTCAACACGTGTGGGATAGTGGAACGATCACTCAAATATGGAAGACGGGCGTACATCTCTCCAATCAACATCGATATGGCATTTATGTGCAGAACCAGTTGCATATAAGCAGTTTCTTTTTTACGCAACCGGCGGACAGCTGTAGTAGTCGGTCTTAGGTACCCGGCATGAGCTAACTTCCGAATCGTAACGGTTTCTACGATGAAAAATTATTTACATGATGTGTTTGTCAGTTGCAGTGAAACACCTGAAGACCAGTCCGGATTTCATTACTGTCAGATTTGCACAACCCTAGCAACTAAACTCTTTACCTGATTTAGACTGTCAACTGTTGGTGGCACGCAAAACAATAGTAGTTAGACGCTTGCAGTCTGTTCAGTGTCGCAAGTTTGGGTTAAGTCCTGCTGTTTTTTCCTCCACAGGGCACCCAACATGAGTTCAACCGGTACCACTGTCTCCACAGAAGATGTGCACAAACTAGAGGGAACCAGTCCCTCCTACGAGCCGCAGGACATGCCCCCGAGACACTTCTGGCCTCACGTGATGACAGATTTTCATTCGGTCACTAGTGTGGAACCAATGGAGCAATGCACTGTGCAACAATCGCCGTTGGAAATGACCTGTGAGGCGCATGGAGTACGTTCCTCCTTAGATAGCATTCCCTTGACCTTATTATGTCGGAAGGAATAAACTCCACAGCCTTTGTTATCTATACAAAGTCCACTTGCTCCAAATGCTGTTGGTTGGTAAGGTTCCAGCCCTCTGACAATAAGGTCAGTGATCACCATATGGTTAACCAGTATATGCAACGAAACAAACGCTGAGGTCATCTTTCTATCCTAGACAGGAGTTCGATAACCGGAGAATAATCCTCTAAGTATAACTTCAACTTAGTCTACACTGTGCTTCATGAGCGGTTAGCGTCAACAACAACCAATGCATCAATATCACTGCTTTGGGCCGACACATCGCTATCAAGTATACACCTATTAATAGAAAACAACAATACTATAAAGGAATATAAAAGTATCATGCCTGAAGCCAGCATTCAGTACCAAATCTTTTAGAACTTCTCAACAGGACACGGTCACAAATAATCGACTGCCGTACAAAGATAAGATGCTATTGACGAGACACACTCCTTGCGGCTTTCATTACCACGCGTCATAATCGACTTGACCTTGTAGCTAATTCATCATCGGACACCTGCAGAACAAAGACCACATAGCGCTTCTGGTCAGGAGATTAAATGAGCCAAGGCTCACCCCCATGGAGGCGACCTGCCCTTACTAAATTTCTGTATTCTTGGCCTTTAAAAATGAGGAAAATGATTTGTCAACGACGTATCGTGGATTCATCATGGACGCACTGTTATCCGCATTAAATGAACCGATTTCAGCATTCGTCATCTCTGGTGCGACAGTACAGATAAGGAGAACAGATCGAATTCCTCCGTTCCTGTTCGTCAAGAGTCAAGAAACCATAAAGTGACTGGCCTTGCGGCAGCGTGTCATTGGATGATAATGCCCCAAGGAGCTCATAACTGGTTAACTGAGAGCCTTAATGGCCGTTAGTCGGTAAGGCGACACAGTTCACATAATGAACACCAACCAGGTTCCCAGGGTAGTTCACCAATAATTGCGCTGTGATTCCTGTCTTAGAGATTTTTGTTCAGGACCAGAAATGACGATTATGGGTGAACTATTTAATGTGGTGTGCTCATATGAAACCTATCAGTCTCTGACGTTACTGGTTTATAATTTTTTCGAAATAACTAGGAAGAGCAGATTAGGCAGCCGGTGCGGTTTCCCATAAATGTAGTGTCGTTACTGCCCTCTATCCTGTCATCAAGTGGTGTACCTTAAGCTGGTGTATTAAAATGGGTGAGCGAACTGACTCACTATTCATAATATAAATTTGTCAGTCTGTTGAATACTTTAGACGGAACTGATAGTAACTAGGCCAAACGTAACCGAGTGTCATAGCAAGATATATTAGTGTAAGAGGAAGTTTAACTTAACATAAAATTGATTGCTCACCATTGGAAATGAGGAAAATACAGTTGCCTATGGGGGAACAATGCATACATATTAGGTTTGGTCAAAACTTGAACATAATGCGATATCAGGTTAGCCCATAATACACCACTTGGTTGCAAATGAGAAGATAACATCAATTAACCATCGACATCATAGGTGGCTTCGATAAAAAGTGGAAAGGAACAGGTGGAGGATCACAAAACGTTTATCGTTTTCTTTGAGTCATAACTGGGTTGTGTCCAAAACTAAAGACACTGGTCTATGTGTCATGCGATCGCCGATGTACTAGTAGCATAGGACAGTCAGTGAGTGAACGCAGTCATATGGCTACTACACATCCAGAATTGCATCAAAAGTTTCTTGCGTACTACGTGGAATGGCCCGCAGCTTTGGCAGTTCACAACGCCATTGTCTGCTTGAGAGTTTGACCATGTGCATCTTCCCTTCGGTGGCCCACTCTCTCCTCTGCAAAGTAGTGACACATACCTCAATGGAAGTTGGTACTCCTTGCGTCACAACGAATTGCCTAACCGCCTCGGTCACTCCCATTGTCCTTGGTTCAACGACAGGTCACCGATTAAGTAGTGCTCAGTCATGGGTTCGAATTTGGTAGAATCCAAGACAACTGTGGTCAGCTGATGGGTCCGAAGAAGGCGACGCAATGCCAGGTGCTTCTCCAATTGTGTGTTGAGTATGTGAGTGTGACGGGCACTTAATTGACAGCAACCAGTTAGTGAAATTGAGCGTACAAAAGCTCGATGGTGCGTCCAACGCATCCAGAGCACCAGTGATGTAACGTTAGAAGACACTTGGTGTGTGATTTGCTACCTGCTAGATCCCTTGAATCCAAATCTTCCATTTCGATCTGCTGGCTAAAACCAACAAGAGCCTGTAAGCGATTTGCACACGACAGCACCACTTTTTGCAGCGATTTGGCGTCTCTTTTCTTATCGGATACTTAATACTGGTAAAAGCTAGGTCCATCAATCTCAGTTCTCCTCTTTTCGATCTTACTTAAAATGGAAGTACCTGGCCACAAAAGGAGCCGATACAATGCTTCAGTTCCATACTGTACAACAAAAGTTATATTGTCTCGGACCAGCTTGGCGTGTGTGCTTCAACCGCCGTTTTTTAAACGGAAAATGCACATGTCTCTCGTGCTTTATCCTGCTTCACTTTGCAACATTATTTAGTTAACCTTTTCGTTTGAATAAATTTCTCAAAATGGATGATGGGTGTTGATGTTTCTTCTCGTGAAAATATCCACGAAACCTTGTCGAGAGCAACTTAAGTTGACGAGGGGTTTATGCAGGATACAAGAACGGAAACACATTGATAACTTGTTGGCGGTGGGCTGTGGGGAGAAGGGTACATGGATGCCCAGGGTTGAACCCTTGCAGCCATGCTAGACAAATTCAGGCTCCTATGCAATGAAGACCCACCTCCCGTGGGAATGAAATCCAATGGCTGTGATTTTGCCGTTAGTTGATCATCAATTCACTTAGCACTAAGTTGCACCTTACGTGCAAGCTAGGTCATCTATGTTGTGTGTCCTTCTCACACCAAAATCGCTGACCAGTTGTAAGGGCGAGCGAGTTACCGAAATTGTGAAAGGTGTAGGTAAGGATTGAATCGGTTTGATCTTCAGCGACATCCTGGAAAAATGCTAACTACTCAACTGCCTTAGAGTTTCGTACACGGTAAACATTAAAAGAATCACTAACTAGTCACACCTTAATCTCCAATCCGAAGAACGCTATATCAATGTGAAAATCTTTGTTTTTGTTCTATAAAGTTGGGGGTTTTGTTACATCCTGCGTATTGCCGCTTCCATCCCTAACTTGCGTTCTTACTGAACATAAGACGGCCCACGTTCAGACCAAGTAATTTATCTAAACTAAAATTCTCAAAGAAATCTTCTAGGACTGTCACCACTGGGTAATCACGTGCAGTTAAGGGATCATTCGGTTATTTGTGTTGAGGAGATCTATCGCAATTATCATGCTTCAGAACTTAAAGGCGCCAGTCGATTAATACAAGTCTGTAAGAATAACAGCATGATTAGCAGATAAAATTAGTAAGTAGTTGGAGGATTTTTTGGGTTTTTGAAAAGCTTCATCGCAACAAGGCGTAGACAAACAGGCGCCACACACCAGGGCAGCGCGGGACGACTGGTTCGTCATATTGTGATTCACCAATAAAGCGCACGCGCTGAACTCTGCCGGATTCGGACCCATGACCTTACACTTAAGAGCCAGCGACGTACGTCACTGGCAGCGACGGACGGCCATATCTAACTGCGATATAGCGTGGCTCATCATCCACTACCACGCATATTATGGAGGTGCAGAGGATAGGGCTAGGCCCAGGAGGAACGACTTCCTTCACCAGCTGCCACCAATCGAGGTGGCATAGTTGCTTAGGTGAGTACCGATTAGCTGCGCGTAGTGGGAAGCTTTATTGTGTATTTGAGAAGATTCATCGCAGCTGGACTCAGGCTGTTTGATTCTTTCGTTGGATCTACTTGTTCGCTCCGGTTACCTAAACCGGCAAGTGTACATGTAGTTATTTAAGCCTCGTCTCTATCGAACGGCGATTCAGGGTCCCGGGGACAAATTTTGTCCCGAGTACTTTTCCGATGTATACATCAAATAGCTATTACAAAATGTTTGAACGCAGTCGGTTTATCAACACCTTGGAAAATACTTGGAACTGATTGAGCACTTATGATTCCAGAAAGGTTTAAAAACAACCGGTTGTTTTTAAACTTTTCTGAAATCAGGAGTCGGTTTATGTTCAAACGTGGACAAATTCACTCAGCATGATCAGAACAGCCCTTGGTATTGTACTTGCTATCAAAGAATTCTTTTCCACATAGCGCCAGAAGGCACGATACGAGTAGCGTGTGTGCATCATGTCCACTTTAGCGTAAACGTTAAGTGGGGACAGAACCCCTACTAGCGTACACATCGGTGACAAAAAGAATGTAGGGAGATAAAGCTTAGAAACTATAGCGACCACCCGACCTACCGCTCATGACCGAATGATTGGCGTGCACAGTAACCCTCCGTGTGCATCTCTGAGAACCGGTTTGGCCTGCGATTTTAGCTACTTAGGCGTGGGTACATTGTGTTGCTAATCCGTGATACCCCATGAGGAGACAACCATCGCGTCTTACACCATCGGATGATATTTGCAATACTGTACCGTATAAAGTGCCTATCGTTTTAGTGCAAAACATAATTGCTTTCGAAGCCCAGTTTGTTTTGTTGCTCCTTAGATGCACTCAACTACATTGGAGATATTGACTTAATTCGTCACTACTTATTACTCAGTAGAGGATCGTGAAATGTGCAACAAACTAAACAAATAGGCGGCTAAGACCCATGTATAACAGTGTGCTGTTACTTTATGCGCGTTGCCTGTTGACTTCTCATTGTTTGTCGCAGCTGCGATTTTTAGGGCGTATGCATTTCCACCACCTTGATCATTAATAGCCACTAAACGGGATCCGTTGTCCCAGGAATGTTTCGGAGCGGAATCAAGCTAGGACATCGAGAGTACCATAGAGGTGTGTCTGAAATGCGACACAAACTA